TATATATATATATAGTGTTCAAATGCTGTTTGGGCCATATTTTGTTGACTTTTTATATAATGGCATCATTGTTCTGGCATTTTCTCTTTGATGCAAACTTAAAATTTAATTTAATGTAATTTCTTTAGCTGTGTGTTGTTTTCTGCAAACAGAATTTGTATGATAGCATAGCCTTGTAACATTCTTACTGATGCTTTTTCCTCTCTTATATTTTTTGTTTGGTCATTTTGCATTCAGGTTATAAGCATATAATTTATCTCAGATGCATAAAGCATTTATGACCACGTCATCAAAACACACTCTTTTAAATATCAGCTCTATGTAAACACTGAAAAGGTGCAATTGTTTCTATGAAAAGTATATTTGTAGCAGTAAGTGCACGCAGAGTCCTCCATAGCAGAGAGAATTTCAATCCCTGCATAACCCTCTGCGAAAAATGTAAAGCCAAATCAAAGCCATGACCCTTACTTTTACTTTTACTTATTTGCTGCATGAAGTTTGGAGAAGGTCCTTGAGGCCATCACCATGGCAACTGAGGGAAGAGGGGTGGCCCGCTTTAACCCTATCGTTCAAGGTCTTAGTGTTCGCTCGGTCCAATTACAGGTAAGCGTTTACTGCTCCTCATCTGCCTCCTTGTTTACTCGTCTTCGATAGCTGCAAAAGAAAGAAACTTGTAGGTAGATAGTGCCACTCTCTTAAGAAAATGAAAATATGAGTACTGTGATCTGTGGATATGTTATGTTTTTTTTTTTTTTATATATATATAGTTTTTTTCTTTCCAAGTGATGGATACATCTTAAAAAACTAAAAAAATAAAATAATGTTATGCCAGAAATACGTTGCTAAATTTCAGTCTTATATAAATAAATGTATATTAATGTAAATAAATGTATATTTTTATTTGTATTTTTGTGTTATTGTGTATTTATTTATTTATTTACTGAAAAATGTTTTACATCAATTTGAACAAGATTTTTTTTTTTTCAATATGTTTGTTTTATTGGAAAGAAAGATGAAAGATAATGGTTCAGAATTTTTTTTTTTTCAGTGATTGCACAAATATCTGTTCAAAATCCCTAGTTCTAGGTCTATTAATTAGCACTTCAGTAGTAAAGTAACTCTACCCATTTTCACAGTGCTGTTCGCACTATTGTGACAGACTGGTGTTGTGTGCATTGCTCAGATGGAGAAATAAATTTCCTTTATATACTATTCCATTTTATAAGTTTCCCTCAGAGATTTGAGGGCCGGTAAATGGCCATGCTGAGATGAAGCATCAGCAATTTGCTTGATAGTGACTTCAATATAACGATGAAGTCACAGGCTCTGAATCACCTCTAAAACGCAATTTACACTTTAAAATCCCCCAGCGACTGTGTATAGACGCCTTCATGAAAAGGATCAGAAAACAAATGAGCATGTCTGCTTTTTAACGACCAGTCCTTTGTACAAGAATGCATTTCAAAATCTTATATAAGTAAAGATGCATAATGCTCCTTTAAGCCGTTCGGTGCTAATGCAGGTATGAAATTCGTTTTTTTTTTAATTAAACATTATAAAACTAACTTTATTTCCTGTCCCTTTCTGAGAAATCAACATGACCTTTTTGTTTAGCCAGCATGCTTAGGGTCTCAGGACACTTGTAAAGCACAAAGGTTAGTGCTGCTAGTTACAGCTCTTCATTTGCATTGGAAAGCATAAACTGGCATTAGTCAAACTTGCTGATGAGATTTACTATAATCATTCCATAAATTATGAATAATTTGATCAGGGGTGTTTAGTCCTGTGCCCCAAGGTTATTTTCGTAAACGAAAACTAAGACTAAAACGATTGATGAAAAAACAATTTCGTAAACTGAAATAAAATAAAAACGTCAAAATAATTAAAAAACTAAAACGAAACTAAACTAACAACAGTTATTGAAAAACTAACTGAAATAAAATAATAATTATCAAAAATAAATAATCATTTTCGTAATCATTACGTTCTCACCCCTTGGCGGAAAAATATTTGAGCTGTGTGGAGGTTTAGGGAAATAGCCTACCTATAATGGCGCATCACGCACATGGGGTTATCTGTCGGAGAGACGCAAAGCATTTTAAAGTCTGCACGGGTCCTGTTTGGTAAACGTGCACCAGCAGTACTTAACAGAACACCCGACCCATTATCTGACTTTTTTTTTCTGTCTGTCTGCAGTATGGACTGGAGCGGATCCTTGGAGAGGAGAAGAGTCTGGCACTGTTGGCCCAAGCCATTGACCCTGGTCAGCCGGCCATGATGACAGATGTGGTCAAACTGCTGTCTGCAATCTGCATTGTGGGAGAAGAAAATACGTAAGCCTCCCATCTAGCTTTTTCCAGCCTTTCAGTTGAAATCAGTTTGGTTATGATGCAATTATTGTTCTTTCTTATTTCAGCCTGATTTTATTATTTAATTCCCCTCAATTATATACTTTCTGTTGGAGTTTTATGCCCCTATTGTGATTTTTAACATTGACATCTTCAAATAGGGTATCAAATATGTATTTTATATATACCGAACCGCACTCGTATTAAATCTATTACATCAGGTAAGCAAGATTATTTATTATATCATGTAACACAAGCAATCAAACCAACATTAGTCATTCTAAGTTGGTGCTTTGAAGAAAAACATACATGCAGTGCAACCTGATAATTAACAGGAAAAAAAGATGAGAATGCGCATCCTTTCTGTAAACAACACAAAACTTTAGCCAAGCATCTTGTGATCACTCTGCCAGGCTTTTGAACAAATGTGCATCGGCTAA